CTTGGGATATAGAGGTTCTCCATGATCTGGCTCCTGTCTCCTTCTTCAAAATCACTCAAAGATCCCCCTTTCTTTCTATACTCCAGCCAAACTGGATCTTTCAGTTCATTAAGTGCATCCTTAAACCAGCACTCAAGTCAAGCATAATATATAGGTAGGAAATGTTCCAAAACCAAGCCAATTTTAGTATAGAACTTATTACCAACTAGCTACTTTCATCTGTTGAATCCCAAGGGAGCTTCTAGAAGCCAGCACGTGGGGTTTAGGGTGGAAGTAGGGACAACCATTCTGAGGATCTGCTTTAGTTTCAGTCCAAAAGGCTCACCTAGTGCATTCTTCCTTTGGCACCATATCTGGAACTAGTACAAAAGCCAGACCAATCTGGGGAAATAATTCAGAACTCCTGGAATACCCAGAACTGGTAGATCTGATTCCTCTAGCTCAAGAGTTAAACAACATCCTTCTTCTCTCTTCACCACCCACCCAAGACAGGAGTTTTCCTAGCTAACACTGCCCCATCAACTACTCAATGAGTTACTCTGTTTTGAGATATGTTATTAGAATTTCACATGGGAAGCCTGAGTTGGTCCAAAGTTCAAGCTTCAACTAATCCCACCCTCATGAACCAATCACTTCCCAAAGTCCCCATCTCCAGATACCATCACATTGGAATTAGGGTTTCAACATATGCATTTTGGGGGGACACAAACATTTAGACCATTGCAGGTGGACCTGTATGGCACAAAGGCACAGAGGCAGGAAAGATGATGCTAACTGGTCCTGTCCTTACTATCTGTGCTTTAGAAAGCACAGTCTACAACAGTGGTTCTCCAGCCTGAGTATGCATCAGAATCTCCTGGAGAGGGCTTCTTAAAACACACATTTCTGGAGCCCACCCCCAGAATTTCTGATGGGACAAGGCTTGAAAATTCACGTTTTTAGAAAGTACTCAGATGATGCTGATGCTGCCAGTCTGGGGCCCAAGTTTTGAAAACCACTGGTCTAGACTGTGTTGACCTCTGGTTGGTTCACCACTCAGTAAATGGCATCTGCTAATGATAATGCTGCAAATAGTCTCTCTTATTAATACCGCTTGCACTGCGTCATCCACTCGGAAGCATATGATCCTTGCATTCATAGCTCTCCATTGCTCACTCACACTTTCCCTTTCTAATGCCCCCTATTCCCACATCCTTATGGCTGCCACCGATTGAGTTTGATCTTTTCCTGCCTTCTGTTGTTGTTGTTCTTGTTGTAAATTGATTTCTCATGTTGTGACCTTTAGTCTATCTAAATTTTGAGATTTTAGAAGGAAAAGAATAATGTTACCAGTTTTCAGTTCCTACTTTACTTTCCGATCTCCTGCTGATTCATTGGTGAATGAAAGTAGTGATGTAGGGGACCTGACTTCGATTTTCTGTTCGACACTGATGACAATTTTGCAAGTAGAAAATTATTTGCCTTGGAATTATTTCTCTTTGATGAAATGATTACCCAAGTAGGTAGCAATGTAACTGCAGCAGTTCTGATAATTGCATGTTGATTTAAGGCTTTACATATTAAATAATTAGATTACAGTTGACCCTTGACAGAAGCTTTGAATTCCTTTCATTTTATCAGCAATCCTAGTACATAGCAAATTACAAAGTAGCCAAAATTCATTAGAATTTCTTTCCATTAATAATGAATGGAGTTAATAGCACATAGTAGGCACTCATTATATATTGGTAAATGAATGCATTCAAAATAAATGCATAAATAATTTTTCTTTTCTCCATGAAACCAAAATGGACATAGTTCCATGAAATATAGGCATGGTGATTTTGTATCAGTTTTAAATTTGGCAGGCTATCAAATGTTAATTTGCTTTTAGCTAGTTGAGATTAAATGTAATTCCTTCCCTGGGCAACCCTAAAGTAAGTAAGCATGAAAGCATTTTCAGAGTAATCTGCGAGGAATTGACATTTAAAGGAGTTAGCATTACATCTGTACTTTAAGGCTATTAATTTCATAGATAAATTAACTTCATTACTCCACCTTTATCTTGCATTTTGAAAGGACTCCATCAGCTGGAGGACTGAAAGCCGAGGGTCAGTTGAAACTGCTCTTATCCCAGCCAGGTTGTAATTGGAACCTGCTTCTGGAAACCCTACTGCATCATGATGGTCTTTTACTGAGAATCTTGCTGAAGAGCTCAAGTGAGTATTTGCAGTTACAAAAATGTCCTCGAAAAACCTAGTCATTGCTCTAGTTGAATAATTTTTTTTTTCCTAGTCCAGTATTGGCAGAAGGGTGTATCAGCAGTCGGTGGGGTTAGCAGCAGGCAAAACATTGAATCGCTTTCCCATCTCTTTGAAAGAATTTGTTTTCAGGGATTCTGCATGAGAGAAAACAATATTTTTATGACACTGTTCTATCACAACTACCATTATATAGAAATGTATTAATATGCAGCATTTGAAATGCCTAAGAAAATTGTAGGAATGTAGTTATATTTCCAAAGCATAAGTCTGAATTAGACCTGAAAGAGAGAGGGGGAGAGAGAGAGAGAGAGAGAAGAGATTGCATTAGAGCAACACTAGAACGTTAGTGTATCGTGAAGAGTGCTCATGCAACTTATAAATGAGCAAGCTGTGGCTTACAGCCATATCCATTGGGACATGGAAAAGTAATCATGAGAAAATTATGAACGGAAATTGAGGAGTAATAGAAGACCATACTTCTCTTAGACTTTCTTTTATTCCCTGTAAATGCTATTTCAGAAAATGGTAAGTAATGTTAT